TGTCCATAAAAGTTCTGAACAGAATCTGTGACAACGAGCAGCCCTGGTGGTCCAACTCCCACCCTGAAGGGTCCAACTTACTACTGGCAATGAGAATCAAACTGTCGCGCCGCTTGTATAGAGACAGACCAGCCCGTAACAAGCCCCCCCCCCCCCCCCCACACACACACACACACACACACACAGGGTACCCTGACGAACACGGTTGAATGCCTTCTCCAAGTCCACACATGTAGACTGGGTCTCGGCTCTGATCAAACAGAAGCTGACTTTGATGCTTGGATCATTTAAAACTTATGTTTTTATGAAGATTTGTTCACTTGAATATGTTGATTTACATCCTGCATCATGGTCAGAGGGCATAAGAGCTGGAGCGACACAAGTGTCCCAGTAAAACCAGTGCGACATGTTTGACATGGGCCCAGACTGTCTGCAGGCTCCTCTCATGCAAACTGACCTGAGGAGGAAACTTTATCTTAGTGCTGTTGTTTCAAACGCAACGAGACGAACTCAGGCTTAAAAAGTTCAATATATTCAGTTACAGCAACAATTCCGTCCTGAGTAGCAAGTTTTAAATTAGGACTGCAGCCAAACTGCAGCCACCAACACCCTAAGAATGCCTTTAATTTCATTTGAAATAAGGTCGTGCTTTAACTTCCTGCAGAGCTCGACTCCTCCCGTGTGTGCTGGTGGCGTGAGGCAGGAAAAGGCTGATCTGAGACTATAAACATCCTGTTGTTGAGACAGAAACACACATGGCTCTGGTCCTGGTCCTGCAACACACACACCGGTTCTGTAAAGGTTCTGCACTCACCTTCACGTTTTGGATCCTCACATATTTATGGTGGGCCTGAACTGCCAACCTTCCTCCCTCTGCGTTCTCCCTGTGAGCACAAGACCAACAATAAAACTCTCGTTCACACGAGACACAGGAATCTAGAAACACATTAAAAACATGCAAGATCACGTCAGCATCAACACACACACAAAACTGCAACACTAACTTTACATGCGCACTTTTATTATTTATTCATTAAAGTGAAAGCTGCTTCAGTATTCACTTCTACCATTTTCCTGTTTTTACAGATTTTATGAAAATATCTGAGGGGGTGTACACGTTCTGCAAACTAACACACTCTGCATCATTTGTACTATTTTAGACAGTCAGAAATCAAAATCTTCATTCAGAAGATGTGACTTTTGGGTTTCAGGTTTTTATAAAGTATTTAGAATTTTTACTTGATTTACAAGTATTTCTCCAGCTACAAGTACTTGGGTGTGCACCTGAACAACAACCTCAGCTGGAGCAACAACACCACCAGCCTGATGAAGAAAGATCATCAGAGACTCTACTTCCTCAGACGGCTGAGACGAGCTGGTCTGGAAGCTCAGTCCTCACCTCCTTCTACAGGTGTGCAGTGGAGAGCATCCTGTGCTCCAGCATCAACGTGTGGCATGGAGGCTGCACAGCTGCAGAAAGAAAAGCTTTGCAGAGAGTGGTGAAGGCTGCACAGAAGATGTTGGAGTCAGTCTCCCCACCATCACAGACATCTACACCTCCAGATGCAGGAGGAGGACCACCTGCATCATGAAGGACCACACTCACCCAGCACACACACTTTTTGCCCCACTCCCCTCAGGAAGGAGGTTGAGGAGCATTAAGTGTAGAACCACTAGACTGAGGAACAGCTTCTACCCTGAGGCTGTTAGACTCATGAATCTCTTACTAGAATAATCACTGTGAAGATACTTTGATTTTTGATCTGTGCTGCTGATTATACATGCTGCTGATCTCATGCTGCTGATTTATTTCATGCTGCAGTGTTCATTCATCCTCATCTGCTCACACAGATGTTCATGCAGCTGTTGTTTGCAGTACTGTTTTTGTACTACTAGTGCTCAGCATATTTTTACTTTATATCATTTTGTGCCTCTTTTATCTTTGACTGCTTTGATCTTTAGTTGATTCAAACTTTTATTTAGCTTTTTGTTGCTTTTACATTTAGACAGTCATTTGCTACTTTAGCCAGCATTTTGCTACTTTTAGCTAATGTTCTGTTTCCTTTAGCTCTTACTAAAGTTTCATGTTTTGAGTGAAGTGTCGTTTAGTTCTCAGCGTTCACGGCATGTGTGCAGGAAATCTCATCTGTCCAGATGTTCAAAAATCCTGCAGCTGCGGAGTGCTCACATACGTACATGTATTCTGACCTAACAGCTTTACAAGTTACCACAATTAATCTGTGTGTGTGTGCGTGTGTGTGTGTCTGTGTGTGTGTGTGTGTGTGTGTGTGGGTGTGTGTGTGTGTGTGTGCGTGTGTGTGTGTGTCATGCAGTGACCACACCACAGCTGACCCGTAATAAAAACACACGTCTGAGTTCTTCAGACCTTCTCTGAGGCAGCTCGAGTCAGCTCCATGGAGTTGAGCGAGTGCACAAAAGCACACGTGTTGCGTGTTCCCGTGCATGTGTGTAAGATAAGACGAACACAGCTGTGTGTCTGTTTTTCAGCAGCTGGGTGAAGCTCATCTGATGCAACGCATGGGAAAGCCGAGGCAACACGAAGCTCCAGCAGTGATGCTTGTTTGAGCTCAGAGGAGGTCGGACTTGTCAACACGTGGGACTCGGTCCAGCAGCACCAGCAGAGGCCCAACCCAGAACCACCGACCTTCAGTACGCAGAGTTTCACAGCAGAAAATGGTCTCCCTTATTGGGAAAGGGCTAGTGATGTCACAGATGGGTTGGCATGTTTCTCACACATGTGAGATGTTGACCGCATTCTCAAAGGCCCCCACAGAATCCCATTGGTCCAGTAAAACAAAGAGCAGCACATGCCCAGTTAGAGGAGGAATGCAGCTGACCAGACTGGTGCCTGCAGGTCCCTGTTCAAACACATGAAGGACATACATCCTTCATGATGAATGAATGAATCATCCTTCTGCTAAAACCGGGGAGGACACTCACGAAGGACAGAGTTGTGCAACGGTGCACATTTGATCAAAGTTCATGCTCAACAATCCAGGTCAAAACAAGAAAGTTCAGTCGGCTCATATGTGGTCAGCCATTTTCAAATAGAGCTTTGAAAGAACCACTGTCCGGATTTTCATGGCTGGGAAAAGGTTTTATGATGAACTGTTTTATTATCAACTCATTATTATTCATTAATTAATTATTATTAACTGTTTGAGCAACGCTGCAGGACGTCCAAGTTAAAAAAGATCTTCAGAGCAGTGAAGCCTGCAACACATTTGATCAACTGTAAGGTGCAGCTGCTACAACGCTTCAGACTTTCCTTCCTACAACACGGTAAAACCGGGGGGGTCAATTAAAAACAAACAGTCAAACTAAGGGCCGGTTTCAGAATCTGCTTTAACTCAAGTTTATTTCTTTCTGAAGTTTATTTGCTAGGGACTGGCCCACAATGACAGACGGAGTGGACCAAGCGGACGCACATGCCTGTATCATGCTGCTAATAACATTTGTAGCACTCGTCTTTTCTACACAGGAGCTCTAAAGAACTGTTCACAAGTCTTAGAACTTAGAGACCAACATCTTTTCTTGGTGGCAGGTTCCTCAACAAGAGTTTCATTGGGCTCATTCGACGTTCTCTGTTGACGCTTTAACGTCATAATCAAAGATTACTGAAACAAATTAAAGTATTTTACATTTCAAATAACATCTTGGGGGCCAGAGAAGACGTCAACCAGGGACACATTTGACCCCCGGGCCTCGAGTTTGACACATATGTTGTAAAACAACTTTGATTGATGGTCAGACTTTAGACCCAGGAGGAACACCAGACCAGTTCTTTACACTTGGGGTACCATGGACTTCAAGGGGTCATGGGGACTTGCCCATCCAGTCTACATGTGTGGACTCAACAGTTTTCCTGGAGGTACACTATGGGGGGGTGCTCCATGAGTATGGGACTGGGGCCATTCTGTCCCTATACACCCGGTGCGAGAGTTTGGTTCTCATTGCTGACAGTACTCCTCCAGGGCAGGAGCTGGACTCCTCCAGGGCAGGAGCTGGACT